TGACAGCACTGAATAGGTTATTTTTTCCTTCTTAAAAGCTTGCATTCTGATTTAATTGAAGAAATATGATTAAGTCTACCCTTCTCCATATAGAAAAAGAATGTTTCAAAATAGGATAACCTGTAAATATTTCGGATGTTTTCTTCAAGTAAGACATTACCATTTATGAAAGAGATGTTTGTTTTGATCAAATGAGTACCAAAAAGCATAAAAGCAAATACGTCTTAACAGATGAAGGAACAGGATTTCCCTTTTTTATTTTCATTCACTGCCACCTCTTTCTACATCTTCCTGCAAGATCAACATTTCAGTATTTCCATCAACTGCAAAGCAAGGACAATTCAAACATGTGCAAACAGAGATTAACATGCTGGGTACAGTGGGTCACCCATCCTGAAAGGCAGAGCTTTACTGCATTGTCCATATTTGTCTCCAGAGTATAAAAAGTGTAGCTTCAAGGAGAGGGAGGGATGCTCAGCTTTAGATGCCAGTTTCCTAACGAGAAGTCACTTTCATGATAAAGTCATCTGCAAAAGCTGTGCAGTCAAAAAACCTTTTATTTGTCTCCTATGTAATATACTCCACATCAGCAATCATTTCTATCCAAATGGATATATGCAAGTCAAGTGTTGTGGCAGCAAGCCTGCCCTCTGATGAGGCACCCTGATAATTTAAAAAAGACAAGAGGCATCTTTGTAAAGCATTTGGTGCTACCACAATTCTTTCAGTGTTTCTTCCAGAAGGAAGTCTCCCCTGAAAATTATTTCACTCTATTTTTTAAACTGAACTTGGTGCAACCCTTTCAGGTTACTTTGAAGAAAAATGGTAAATCAATCCACATTCTAAAATGCCTCAGAAAGAAGCAAAATCCCAGCAGTAAATCCACCTAATTAAGTGAGGGTGTATCTAGCCCACAGCTATTATCGCTTCTCAGCTTAATATTTTTAAACACCCTGTATGTGGAGCAGGCAGTAAGCTCTTCTCATTATTTCTCAAATGAAGCTGAGTAGATCTAACCCAAATTATGGCAAGATAAACCACACAACTTAAGTGATGAAAATTGTACTTTTCCCTCTGCTTTAGGGACGCTTCTGGCTCATCTGTCCTCTGATCAAGGTGAGCCTGATAAAGCTGAAAATTACACTGTGTGACTGGATTGTATGAGATTATCTTTCCCCTGAGAAGTGATTTATTTTAGTAACTCTTAATGAATAAGAAACTTTCTGCTCCAACACGCTGCTCTTCTTGTGTGGGCACGGCTCCTTATTGCTTTGAGTGAGAGATCACATAAAAGAAATGGAGAATGTGAGTGGCTACATCTTCTTCATGGTTCAAAGACATTTTTGTGTTATAGGATAGACCTTCAGGGACCACCAGTTCCATAAAAAGTGAAAACTAATGTCATCAGTTCGTGGGTTTAACTGCAAAAGTCACTGGCATATCTTCCACTTTTTGAGTGTGAGGAAAGTCCAGCTTTGGTTTTGAGGGATCTTGCTTGGTAGAATTTGGGGGTCCTCGACCTTTAGATGATTCCAGGAGATGCTGCATGTTAAGTCTGAAAATAAGGCGAGGATCTGGTCCAGAAAGAGATGGGCAATTGCATCTCTCTCTTATTTTAAGAGCCTGTGAACACATAAGAAATCAAATAGGAAAAACAAGAAAGGTTTCAGTCAGTGACTTTGGCTTTCCAGTCAGGTTTGCATTTGCACACTGGTTAGTGTAATAATGAGCCTGAATTGTTACTGAACAACCTCTCAACAGCAGCCAAGAATTCCTGTGACAAAATGTAGCAATATGGTAAAACAATGGGAAAAACAAGAGTGAAATTATTTCTTCACACCATGATCTCTAAGGATGGATACTCTAAAAGATACAACATAATTAGACAGGAAGTTCTCCAATGTTTGTCCACATCAGTACCTTTTAATTTATATTCACATATAAACTAAACTTTTTGTAGTGCTTTCAGGGTACTTTGAAGAAAAATGTTGAATCAATCCATATTCTAAAATGCCTCTGAAAGAAGAAAAATCCCAGCAGGGAATCCACTTAATTACGTAAGGGTGTATCCAGCCCACAGCCCACACTGCACTCAGTTTTATATATTTAATTATATTTACATTCAAATGTAAATGATAATGACTGCATCAAGGGAAAAAAAAAAAGACTCTGAATAATTTACTTCTTCAGACATGTTCTATTATTGAAGTAACAATACATAGACATCTGACTCAAAAAAGGAGGGAAAATCTCCAATAACATAATGGACTTTTAACTGTTTGGCACAGAGATCCAGAATCATCAGTTTAGTTAAACTCCTGTCACACAAGTGATCTCATCTCCAAGAACATTTGGAGTATTCCAAGTTTCCAAGTAGTACAAGAAAATAATGTCACAAGAAAATAATGAATGTAATAATTTCTCTGGGTAAAAAGATCAGCAGTAAGAGACCAAACTTTAAGTTAGCCCTGCTCACTGAGTAAGTGCCATTGCTCGCATTTTGCAAGTAAGAAAGCAGGGGCACAAAGGAGCCAGAGAATCTCCCAGAGAACCAAAATTCATTAGCACAAGCACATTCCCCCAGATCATCCTGTCTGCCTGGCAATCTAAGAAAGGAATGGCAGTGGATGAATCTCGCATCTCAAAGGCTCTGTGGAGAAATTGATACCAACCTGTTCAAAGTCAGCTGTTTTAAAGGATGCTTAAGTTGTATTCATTGACACAAAGCTGATCTTACCTTAATTAGACCACACAAACTGGAGCTTCTGTGTTTGGCACACAACAACTGATCAGTGCTTTTTAAGCAGCTGTACACAGCTGTATTGGAATCCATGGAACCTCCTATAACTCATCTAAACCAATTACGAAAAGCAGATCCTATGTATCATATAGCAAAATATTACACCAAGACCAAAACAAGTCTGATGGTTACCATTAATCAGTGGTCACTGTGGGATGGTCACATTTGTTCAATGTTGTCCGGGCCTCAATTAACAGCATAAACCATAGACAGATTTACATCCAGCTCTGTTTTTAATCCTTTCATAGAAAAACCAGTTCAAAAGTGCATTTTATTCTACTTCATAATCATGGATTCCTGAAAAGCAATGGCCAGAGCTGTAGCCAGGTGCCTCCTGGCCAGTATTTGGGACTGTTAGCAGAAAACATATGCTGATTAACTTGTTCTAGATGGATTCAGGAGAAGGAAGAAAGCAACACAGTTTTCATAGCAGTCCTAGCATTGCATTATAGACAGAACAGAAATTTTTAATCTGCTTTATATCCACTAGCTTTGTCTGAAATATCAAACCAAATATTCCAGTACAGCTCTGCATAAACATTTACCCATCATTTTGAATACTGAATATCACTATGGAAGAATATCACTTTGATATTCTTCCACAGGAGGCACTGGAAACATCTTACTACAGCAGATTTTAAAATAGAAGAGCAGAGCTTCTTAACTAAATTTTTTATAAGGAGGTTCCAAAACATATTTCTCGTCTAACTTTACAACAGTGAACCAATAGATTTTGCTGTAAATGGCTAGAAACAAACAGAATTTAAAATTAACAAATTGTTTTGGAAATAGACACATTCGGAAAATGTAACAAGAGTTACTCCAGTTGTTTCTTGCTGAAATGTAAAATTCAAATTACTGGATACACAAGTCTGGATTAGATATGAAAATATTGTTCCTGTCTAAGTTTCTAAAAATATGACTAAAGCTTTTATGGCTTATTTTTCTACAGCATGATCATCCACGTAGTCACCAAATGTAACTGTACTGCTGAACACTCTTCTGCTTCAGTGACCAATCCATTGCTAAACTGGCATTTATGATAAACAAAGAGTTTTCTTTTGTTGTCTTCTAGAACATAAGCTACTGCACGATTGCATTAATGTCAAGCAGTGTTATTCAAGTTAAATGGGAATATAAAGATTTAGGCTGTATCCTGGAAAAGGCAACGTAATCCTCTTTTAAACTAATTTAGCAAATTTGTATCTCTGGGTTTTCCTGGCTATAGAGTGCCTGACCTATTTCCATGGTTTCACTGAAGTCCCAACAGCAAAGATAAAAACCAGTACTTCAGGTGAACATTTTTACCCTGTGGATATCTGAGTTCTTGCTAGACATAAAGCAAAGGGGTAGAAGGCAGCTAATCAACATCATCACCTCAACATGCCACTGAAAAACTCCAGATATGGAAAGAAAAGCCAAGTTAACTTGTCACCTCCCTGCTCAGGACAGCTGTGACTACACATTCCAGTGAGGGCAGCCACCTGCCTGCTTACTGGTTCAGGAGATCCCAAATAAACCATCCAAACTCTTGCTTTTAAATTACAAAGGTGAAGCTGTTTTTCTTATTAATACAATCACAGTCACCTCCTGCAATGTTTGGGAGCAGGGAAGGCAGGAGAATTAGGCAGGTCTCCCTCATCCTATCACCTCCATGTAAAGCTACCAGCAAAGACAAATAGAGAAATAAGTAATTTTTAGTTCCCAATATTAATCCTTCACTCTGTCACAGACACCAGACTACCTGCTGGTCTCAAGCCTTACAGTCTTAATGAAATAGCAGTAAAAAGATGATTAAAGGAATTGATAGACTTTACTGGATAGAGAAGAAAAGCAGCTTATATATAATGTTAATACTTCCAACCTTACACTGATGTTGGCATAGGAACTGTGACAAAATATTTAATAACTTTATAGGGAGGATAGAAATGCAGGTCAGTGTTTTTTATTCTTGTTTCCACCTTGATAGGGATTAATTAACATATTCTAGTACTGGAATTATCTGAAGTAATGTTCACACCATAAGCAAAGGGCAAATATGCCAACCCACTTTTGAAAAGGAAGGAAAATAAACATATCTCCCATATCAAAAGGCAGCAGAGGAAAAAGTATTAATTACACAAAAATTAATAAAAAATAAGTAGCCAATATGGATTTGACAAAAACATGTGCTTCCAAAATATTTGAACTTTTTTTTTGACAAGTTAACTGACCTATCAAACAACACAAGCAGTGCAATTGATAAATCCCAACTTACTAGTCTCTAAATGATCTCACCATGGCATTTCCACAAGAAAGTAGAAACTGGACTTACAGTGAATCAAAAATAGAATCTGAGCCAACAACATGATGCTAAAAAAGCAAATGTCACATCAAGATGAATTTTTGTATCACAGGCAAGGCTCAGGAGATAACCTTCTGCTTTATTCAGTTTAGCTGAGACTTCCACTGACGTACAGTGCTGCATTTGAACAGCACACTTGGAAACAGACACTGCCCCAAGTCAGAGAACATGAAAATGAACCAGAGATGAAGTAGAAGATCCTGGAGCTTCTCTCTAGCACTACACTCCCACAGTCTCCCTGTCTCTGGAAAAATGATCATCTTCACCCTTATAGAAAATGATTTTAAGATTTCATTTTCTGAAAATAAAATGCATCTCTCCAGCCTCCATGCATGAATTCTAAGAGATTTCAGTTTCCTATTTAGGAGTATTTTCTGTTTTCCTGGTTTACTATCCTAACACCTCCCTTTCTGAGGGGAAAATACTTTCAAAACACAGCAAATCTTTTTTATTTGTTTTATTTCATTTCCAGGACAGCACCATTTTTTAACTGCTTATAGCTCTCTTGTTTACTGATTCCTCAGCATGGCTGTAGCTTCCACCTTGCTCAGAAAACCAGATGTAACATCTTTAACACTCATTTGATTTGCTCTCAGTCTTCTAATGACTTGAAAGGGATCCCTGTGACAGTTCCCCTTTAATTTACACTTCCTGAGACTGTTTAGTCACCTCATTGAGATGTGACATTTCATCACCTGAAGAAAAATTCTCACTTTATATGATTGCATCTTATTGTGAACCTGCTTAAAAGTCTGTAGAGAAAGATTAGAGAAGTTCAAAATCTTGTCCCTATTTGTCCCAGCTATAGTAGCTGGTCTAATAAGAGATGTATTGTCCTGAAAAAATTTCAGCTTCAAAACCAGCAGCACATGACATCCAATAATAGTCATGATGGATCTGGCACTGATTCTTAAGAAGTACCAGTTTCTTCACAGAGAGATACTAGAGATAAAAAGGTCTTTTTTGATAACCTAGCTTCTCTCCTGGGCTCTGAGTATCTAATGGCAATTAATAAAAATTAATGGTATTAATAAAAATGGTATTAATAAAATAATGGTATTAATTAAAAATTAATGGTATTAATAAAAATATGGTAAACATTCTGTTCTAAAAAGCTCAAAGAATGTGAACAATGAAACAAAAAGGTGCTGATACCGAGCAACAGTAAAAGCCTGGGATTCCCTTTCCATGCCTGAAGTGCAGCCTGAAGGCAGCAGCTCCCACAAGAAGGGAGTCAATGCTTCAGACAAGAGCCTCCTCTACCCATTTTCTTTCATCTTTATTCCAGTTTTGTAGTGCCAACCTCACTTATCTGGTGAACTTGCTAAAAACAGGAATCCTTCAGCTCCTGTTTTCTCATCCTACTCCAAAGAATGTTGAAGGTAAAAGGCAAACAAAAACATCTCCCCCCAATTATCTTTTGGAAGATCTTCCCAGCCTTCACTGCTCTTGGAAGTTGAAAGTAGCTGTAAAAAGATGAGGGCTACTCACCTGCTAAACTATGAGATGAGACAGAAATAACAGTTCTACACAGTTGCTCAGTTATTTAACTTACTTGCTCAGGCCTGGGGTAGAACATAAGAAGTAATTTATTTCATTACCTCTTTATAAGCCAGTCAACAACTCTATGAAAATAAACGATTCTGAACCCTTTATGTTCAATCTAGCTAAAACTGAGGCTCCACAACGGAAATAATTTTTTATTCAGCTGCTCAAATGTGTTTGAAAATCCATCAAAAATATTCTCCCAGCCTGCTTTTGCAAAGTACAAACTTTGTGTATATTAATTTGAGATATCCAGTCTAGCCACTCTCCAGCCTCCTATGCCTAATGCTGACTTTGATTTATGCCATCATTTAGAATATTTACTGTATTCATTCTCATCAAAGGATTCATGAAACTCTTTTTTTTCTCCTTTGAAGTCAGCAAACACCTCAGCATTTTAGTGCTCCCTCTGCCAATAAATCTTCAAGTGTCTTTACAGTTTGAAACTGAGAAAGACTTAAAGTGACAGAGTTAAAAAAAAAAAGAGAATAGTTGGTGATAAAAAAGAGCATTTCCAAACACAGTTCAGCTTGCTGAAAAATAGTGTCTCAGTGGAGTGCTTTAACACTCTATTTTATTTTTTTGTTTGCTACAAAAGCAAGAGAAGTCAAGAAAATTTAGGGATCAAACTCAAAAACCGCCTTTCCAAAATGGCAAAAAAAAATAGAAAGAGTGGATGAGACCTGTGGCACTCAAAAGGTTGTTCAAAATAAAAAAAAATTACACTTTGATTAGAAATCAGAAGAAAACCCCAAACCACTTGGAATATAATTACATTTTATCTGTGCTATCTTACTTTTCCCTCATTTAATAAAACCTTCAAGGCTGAAAGCTTTGCAATGGAGAATTTCTGTAAGGATAAAGAGAAAGGTAAGCATGGTGCTATGAGAATAAACTGTGAATCAATAGCAAAGCAGCTAATTAATCAATTAATACCAAACCACTTCTGGCAAGTTTCCTAAGAGGAAAAGCCACTTCCCTGAGCCCTGCTCACCTCTGGGATGAGGCGGTCCAGGTGCTCAGCTCTGTTTTCATGGGAAGGGTGTGTGGAGAGCCACTCTGGCAGCTTGGGCTGCCCCTGGATTGTTTCTGCCAATTCCATCTGCTGCCAAAAGACGCTGCTGGCTCTGACATCCACACAGGCCTGAGAACAGGAGGGAAATGGAAACACCTCTGGATATTTAAAGTAATAAATATACAGTCTAACTGATATTGAATTACAGAAGACAGTTTAAATTTTAAGTTTCTAATGACTGTTTAGATGGTCCTTATATCTGACAGTAAAAAGCTGTTCCAAAATATCTAAAAGTGATAAAAAAACTCATGCAGGCACTGGATCTATTCCTTTTAACACCTGTGCCTTAAAAAAATTGAGAAAATTCAAGAGGAAGGAAAGGTTTACAATTTCTGGCATATACTTGTTCTTTAGAAAAAAAAGCTCAGCTACAAATTGAAGTTATACTTACTAGAACAAATTAATCATCTCCACAGTTTTAGGCAAAGTTACAGGAAGAAGTTGAGAATCATAAATACAAGGTGATAATAGTTCATACTTAAATATACCTAAACAGTAACTGGAAATGCTTTCAGTAACTGATTACACAGCCTTTCATGGGTGATCTGTGGAATCCATGACACAATAAAACAGTAATTCTGTAGAATTCCTGACTCTCTTTAAGAACTACAGAAAGTCATAGAACAGTAACTTTAAGAATTGCTTTTGTGTATCACCACAGACTTCTCTATTTTTACATTTAAGTATAGAGGAAAAATAAACAAGATTTCTTACACTGACCTTTATTTGGTAAGAAAAAAAGAGGGACAAGTAATCAGAAGATAAGAAAATTATTTCTTTCCATTCCCTCATCCAGGAATAGATATGGTGCTTTATCCTTTGAATTAATTTATTTAAATTATTATCATAAAAAGGTTATCTGCACAAGCAGAGAAATGCTCATATGTCACTTCACTTATTTCTTTCTGATACGGCCCTACTTTTCCGGTATTAGAAAGCAGTGAGCACAAACACAGCAATTACATTTTTTAATGGATTGTATTATTCTTGACAACTTCAAATTACAAATGCAGTTTTAATCTCACAACCAAAGTTAATTTTAAAAACCCTTCCTTAAAGAATCATTAATAAGTATTAAAAGGAAATTTTGCTAATGAAATATTAACACTAGATGGTGCTGCTCTCACTGATATCTCACACATAAGTCTATGGCACTTAGCCAGAAATCAAAGAGTTGGTTCAGTTCCTTTAATATAGAATTAAATTCCCCAGGGGAAAATAAAAAAGTAATTGATAAAAATAAACTATGAAAAAATGCTGAGTAGCTTCTGACCAAATTTTTGCCTTACTTTAGCAAAGCTGTTTTGTTGTTATGGCTGTATTTTACAGAAATCTTTAAATCTTTACATATAATTAAATCCTACTTATGGAAGATCCCTATTTAGAGTTCTCCTCTTTACAAATACTTTTCTTCTAATAGCAACAAACTACACAGAAAGGAGACTATGCAGGTAATGCACAACTTTACACACTTCAATGTTATTACATACAATTGGCCACAATGACTTTGCCTTTCTCTAAAAAGTATTTGATTTCCCACCATTTCATAAAACTACATCTCTTCAAAAACTTACAGTTTGCCTCCATATGAAGAAGGAAACTCCCTCTGATTGTAACAGAAACTGAAAAATGTCTGGTACTTATTTTTTTTGCTAATAAAACCAATCAGTTGTAGTTACCTTTGCAGCAAACTGAAGTCCCACTTTATCAGCTTCAGCCTCCAGGGTTCTGCTGTAGGGTCTATCAAACATGAACTGCAAAGAAACACATCAGAGCTCTGTTCCTGGGTCTGGAATGTGTACAAAGATGGAGCCTCATAGCTGCCTTTTAACCTTCTCATAAGAAGTGGGGTTTATCTATCATGCTCACATTGCATGTGATCAGTATTATTTTTCTTAATGCAATCTCTAATTCCATTATGTGTAACTCATTGATCCTCTATTCAGCTGAAATTAATTCAAATTAGTTATATTTTCATGGGCACTATCAGCAGCCAATCTCATTTTGCAGCAACTGAGATCTAAATATCAATTTTTACCAGAATATTTTCACTTCACTCTTCTACTGACATCAAAAGTTTCTTGCAGCAACTGTATATAAACAATTCCAGTGGTTCACTAAACTTTTATGATGCCTTTTAGCATGGTATCATCTATTTCATATGGCAAACTGCCCACGGTAAGGAATTTAGCCATAAATATTTGCATGCAGAAATCACTCCTTTGCCATGACTGTCCCTAACACAAGCTGCAAATTGCCCTTGAGAAATCAAACTAGAAGACATAAAGCTGACCAAACTCCTCTCCCATTTTTCTAGAGCATTAGCACACCCTAAGAGGCAAGTGGTGGTTTTCTCAAATGTAATTCATGTAGATTTGGGCAGCCTTACCCTAGTCTCCTGTGTTATAGCAAATGCAAATCAGGACTTGTTTAAACAGCCTGCTCCTGAAGAGATAAGGAACCTGTCACAACATCCTGGTTTAGTCATCCATTAGGAAATGTGAACTGAACAATGGCAAATGTGCAAGGTTAGAGAAGAGAGAAAGGTCTATCAGCTCAAAAAAGGTTCTATCAGCTCTTTATCTGGCTATAGAAATTTGTCCTCCTTAGAAGTTTCAGGGGAAAAAACACCAAAAAACCAAACAACAAACCAGTGTGAAATTAAGAGCACCAAGGAAGTGCTCCAGTCTCTTGAGTACATAAAGGTAACTGTAACTTTTTGCTACTTTCCCAAGTCAAAAAGAGAAGCCAACCAAAGCTGGCTTTAAAAGACAAACATGCTGGTTTAGAAGTAAGCAGAGATGAGGTCACTTTCTAAATTCTTAGTTTCCATACAGACCTTAAACATTGCAATTATAAATACATTTTTTAAATCCTCTGATGATAAAGTAATTCCTTGAAGTGGAATACATGTTTTTATTGCCCTGAAAAGTGCTATTGGTCTATTGGTGCACATATATTCACTAAACAGCAAAGAAACCCCTGGCTAGTCTGTCATATATTCCTGAAGCACCATTTCCTAGTTAGCCATATAAACTATTTGATTAATTATTAAATATTTTTTTAGACAGAGATGAAATTTGTAACCTACAAAAGAGCCCTGAGGTATCTAGCATACAGTGGTATTCATCAGCTACTGGAAAATGGAATTGTTTAAAAAATCTTTTGTGAATTTGCTAGTGAAAAATTAGAACTTCAAACTCTGATCTAAAATCCTTGTCAGAAAATTGGACACAAAAAAAAAACCATGAATTTGATTTTTCAGTTTAATTCTCAGAGCTGCCTGGGTATGTTGAAGGAAAGGGAGTTCCAGGGACATTGATTGCCCAAAATCACCAGTTCTCACATGAAACACAAATCCTATGGTGTGAGGTGGACAAGAAAGGAATATGAAGTACTGCATCTGTACATACTGGTGTGTGGGGCATGAGTGAAACTCAGAGATATGCTTGGTGTTATTCCTAGAATAACTCCTAGGCTTTAGTTCCCATATAAAATAACTGCTGCTCTATAACCAAAGGCAATATGCTTTAGTCCAGAAATACATGCTTAAGGTACAACCCCAAATAAATGTAATAAGAAAAGTTAACAATTTATTAAGGAAAGAAAATCCATTATCTTTGGGGGAAAGGCGGAACTGGAGCTCACATGCCCAAAGGCCTAAAAAGAATCACTGGGAAACACTTAGAGTCAATAATAAAAAATACACAATAGTCACCAGGTCAGAAAGTCAAGCCTCTAAGGATATAAGAGAAAAACAAATATTGAAACAGAAGCAAGTACCACAGCATGGCTTAAATAACCCCTTCACAGAATGGGATGCTAAAGCTTTGAAAAGCAAAATACGGTTATGGAAGAAGAGGAAGAGAAACATCCTGAGAAAACATGCAGAAAGATTCACTTCCATGTAAGCACAACAGGCAAATACTGAATGAGGGAAACACACACTGCACTCCTGGGTGACTACAAAAACTAAGTTTCCTATTCAGCTTCTTTTGTCTATGGGATTAAAATTTTGCAAGTATTTATCACTCCAACATTATTGGAGTTTGATCAGCCTTTTAAACCAGGACAGTATCCCATAGATAATGTTTCCTTTGCACAGGACTCAGAGCTTAAACCCAGATTTCCTTTCCATCCTAAAGCACAACTCCATCCCATGATGCCAAAGTACCCATTCTCTGTGGAGGAGAAGAGATGCTGACAGGGAGTTGAATTTTACTGTCTAATTTATGAGTAGTCTCAAGATTCATTCACACTTTGTTTTTGCCAAATTCAGCTCTTCAAAATGCTGGCTAGAATTCATCAATGTATTGGTTTCTTAGCTACTTGTGCAAATATCCAAGCCCTTAAGAGATAATTTATGTTCAGAATCCACATATCTACCCATTAGCATAAGAACTACCAAAACAGATTGGTTATGTTTAATTTCATGTTTTTGAGGAACTAGGGGAAGTCTCAGGAAAAGCATGAAGTCAAAGAAACTAAAGAGATCTTTCACTTCAATTCAGATTCCAGTTTTATGTTCTAAGCAAATTTCTATTTAAAAATATACTTAAAAAAAAAAAATGGATCAATAATTGTCCAAAGAGTGAATTAAACTGCTGAAGACAACTGGCACCGGAAAGCCTCTAAATTTTACTTTGCTGAAATATTTGCTGGCTGCAAAGATTATTTTAGTAACTTGTACTATAGCATGGTTTATATAAGGGTGTTTAGATTCTCAATTTTTTAATCTTGGAAACCATTCCTACCACTAACAATATATTTAAAGAATTCCATATATTTTATTTGATTTAGGAAGAATTTAACAACTACTATAAAAACATGCCATTTTACTACATACAACTTTAAAGAGCAAGTTACCTTTCTCAAAGGCAATCACCTGTCTTAATTGGCAAGCAGGTTCCTGCAGCCTGTGCAACTAAATCCAGTCATTTAGGGAAACTTAAAGCTCTTCAACACGACAAATGAAAATCAGCATCAACTGAAGCAGAATCAGATTTATAAAAACGTATTCCATAACAGACTCAATACTAATTTTTGTTACATTTCTCCTCTTGCCTTTCTCCCCAAATTTACTATTTAGTGTAGCAAAAGATTAACATTATCTTTCCAAGGAAATCAGGAAGGACAATAGAAAACATCAGTCTTACCTCCTGCAACTTGCTCTGAATCCACTGGCCAACAACTGCCAAACTATCACGAGGACAGATGGCCCAAATCATAGTGAGAAAGATGAGCGAGAGAAAATCCAAGAAGTGAACCAGGCTGGCTTTCTCTGCCTGCAAACAGAAATTGTCCCATTTTCATTCCTTACTGTCTGACATTTCTTTAGAACATTAACAGAATTTGGAAACACTTTAAAAATCACTGATTTTTTTTTTCTTTGGAGCCACAGGAAGAGGGCAAGCACAACATTCCCTGCTTGTATCAAAACAAACAAATAAACAAAAAATCCAGTTGGATACAAGGTACTTTCAGGCCAGAATTCACATTAGCTGCATACAGCAGGAACAAATACATTCTGCCTATCAGACTCTCTGAGAGGTTCAAAGGTTGAGGTAGGATGGAGGCAACAAGCAGAAAAAGTTCTTCAGTGAAACGCCAGGAAACACGTCAATGTGAATAAAAAAAACTACAAAAATACCTCAAAGACTGTTCTTTACATTAATTTGAGAAGAGATAACACATCACTGAAACAGGATCACTTATGGCATAAGGGAACAGTACACAGAATGTATTTATCTTTTATTTCCTGCTGCTTTCCTTTAAATTTAGAATCCAAGAGATTATTCTGTTTTCCAGAGCTCTATTTGACATTGATTGGAGCATTTACAAACGGGATCATGCAATACTTCTCTCTGTGCCAGCTGGGTGACACAGGTTCCATACAAACAAGATAAGTTCTTCTTTATTATCAGAAATACTTTTTAGACGTTTAAAGGGTTGGTTGGCTGAACTGAGCCCAAGAAACCATGACGTCAACCACGATGTGTTGCTGACCCAAAATCATGCAAGAACCACGCTCTGGGTATTCTAGAATTTGACATTCTAAAACTGTGTGCTCCAATAATAACAAGTAATAACCAAGTATTTTATGATAGACTTCTGCAGGTATTAACAATTACAAGAGTAACAGAGCTGCTGAGTACCTCCAGTTCTTTATGTCTTTGCTATAAGAGAAGGATCTGAAGACCAAGCTCTAAATGACTCTTGAAAGTGAGTCATAATTTACCTGTACAACTGTGAATAAAGACCTGGCAGCCTTTGTGTTAACAGGTCTTCTGACAGTTATTAAGTGCTACGCAAATAATAAGGATCTACTGTAGCAGGCTACTCATTTCAAACTCAAATTTGCATTAATTAGATAGAGTCACACTGAAAACTTGGTTGGTAATGATAGGGAAAATCATAACTAGAGTAATTAGAATTAATAATTTAAGAATATTAGACAGCTTTCTTTAAAGACTTACTGCATGTTCCAGCACAGCATGAGCTATTTCATGTCCTAAAATAAATGACAGCTGATGAATATCAGAAACTGCATCCAGTAACCCAGTAAAAACAAACACTTGACCATTCTGTAAACAAAGAGAATAAAAATTAAGTGGGAGATATATCAAGTGCTATTTCAATATTTTTTTTGTGTGTGGTGTACAACTTACTGGAAGCACAAAAGCATTTACACCTGGTTCATCCACCACGTGGATAACCCACTGGAGAGCTGAGACTTGGGGGATGTCCTTGTTGCTTTCAGACAAATGCCCAACAACTCTCTCCACAACCTGGTAGCGTGCATCTGTCTCAGGTAACATCTGACTTTTGAACTGCTCCATCCACTGAAAAAAAAAATTCATTGGTCCTAATTTTTAAGGTGGACAAAATGTATACAAAACATGTAATTTGAAAATATCCTGTTCTGTTCTTATCTCGTGTCTCTGACAGACAGGAATATGGATACATTTGGATATGGCTTATCAAGTTTCACTTTACAACAGGAAATCACAGAACTCAAAATTACAGGGACTAGTTCAATGGACAAGAAATAGTTAAGAATATTTGCTACATGCATGTTATATGCTTTGTAACCATTATGTGCTTCTCATGGAAAGGGAATTCTAAAAAATAGTGGGGACAAGATGAGGAGGCAAGTGAGGACTCTGCAGGGTTCTGAGCATGAAGTTCAAAACTCATCAAGGACGCTCCAAGGTCTGTTTTCCCATTTCATTAACAGGACTATCTCATCACTAAAAAAGCAAAAATTTTTGAGTACTTTCAATTTCTTGTCTAAAATCTTACCATATCATATTCCATCTGTGACAGCTCCCTAAAATGCTCTTTGCCAAACACCAACAGTCGAGCACGCCCAGTGATGGGTGTCTCCTCCAAGTGGGTAAAATAAAACATGACAAATACAACTCCCAAGCTGCTGACACCCAGCAGGATCTTCCATTTGTTTTTTCTTGCACTTGCTTTGAAGAGTTCCCGTTTATTAGGAGGAAGTGCCTTCCACCAATTTCTTATGCTCCTGTAGGATATAAACAGCGTTAATTTAGGATATATTTGAAAAGGTAATTGTTAATGTATTCTCTATTACAACCTCATCTCATGTAGGAGCTTACGGGGGGGTTACACTTTAATTGGCTTCCACTCCACTGCATTTCTCCCCTCCCACAGGAAAAGAAGGAATGCCCCTGAGTGTCTTGGTTCATCTCCCTCTACCACATGTAAATGAGAAGGAAAAGAGAAAAAAATATATCTAACACCTCTGATAAAGGAAAAGAAACCACCTCTTGTTGAGCAAACTGTCAGTGAAACAACACTACAAACACACCTGCCCTCCCTCTCCACACTCACACTTTGCATGATGGATCTTGCACTGAGAGGAAAGTAACACAGTATTTTACCTGCCAAGAATGATGGCAAATAATTTCTGAGCTGGCTTCACAAGAATCCAGAAAAGAGGAACTGGTGCAGCCTGAAGTGATGGTGATGCATGAAAAGACCTGTTGATCTGAATGTTCCAAGCAGGAAAGTGACATGGGTGTTGCCCTACAGAATTGATCAGGAGGGATGGGATCTTCTCCCCCAGTGGCTGAGAAGACTGGGAGAAAAACCTTCCCAAACTATGGTTTGTATTCCTGTACACTTCCCGTCCACTTCTATGTGGGACATCCAAAAGACATCTCAGTCCTTTACCAACCAAGTTTCTATAGGTGTCAGGGTTTCCAGTCAAAAAACAGTTTATAGCATTTCCACTCAAATCCAACCTTTGGCATCTATTTCTGTCACCCTGACTTTGGCACTGTCCTGTGTAAAACCTAGAGAGATTATTGTGCTTCCCCTGCTTGCACAAAGAAGCCAAATGAGACAAAATGCAGTTTCTGCCTGACATCTTTAGACCACAGATGATATTCATAACTTCTTTGGTTGGTTACCCTGAAAAAAAAGAAAAAAAATGGCAGACTGGTATTAAAACAAGAAACTCTGCTTTGTTATCATTTTCCCCTGAATGGATATTATGTATTAGTTTGCCAACATCTGCATTGCACAATAAAAGGTCACAGTCACAACTGCATCCGGTTCCAGTTTTAAGATATCCATCTGCTTCCGACTGTGAAAGATAACGGTATCTTGTATCACTGAAAATACAACAAGGTGTGATTTATTTTTCTCCGTTCACTTTTATCACCACTAGACCAGAGTGACTGCAAGTGTCTCTTGTGGGTCATCACCTTTCTGCGCCGGGCTCCTGCCCCTAGTGCCATTCCTAGACATGAGGAAAACCAGATCTGTGAGCTCGTACTTCACTCCTGGCCTAGAAACAAACCAAGTCTCCGCCAGCCGGGAGCCGCTTGTCACGGCCATGGAAATGCCTTGGCACGGAACAGACCCAGACCCTCCCGCCTGAGGGGTCCCGCCGCCGTCACTTTCACCCTCTGGCTACAACCGCGGCCTCTGTTCTCCCCCAGCCCCCACCCTCGGGTGTAACCGCGATTATCGCGACATGGGCCGATGCGGGGAGCCGCGAGTGGGGAATGAGGGAGGCAGTCACTCTGAGGCGGGTAATGGCGGGCGGGGAGGCGGGGGACAGCTCCGGCGAGGCCGGGAACGACCTCCTCCACCGCGCTCCCCTACTCACCACCGCGGGAGGCGGCGGCGGCGGAGGGGCCGGGCCGCGGAGCCGGTGTCGATACGGAGCCGGGGTGCGGAGTGGGAGGCGGGACGGGCCCCGCTGCGGCCGCCGGGGTCCCGCGTCCCTTCGCTCAGGCGGGGCCGCTCCCGCCGCCGCCGCTCCCCTCAGGCGGCGGCCGCCATTTTGTGGCGGCGCGGTGAGCAGGGCTGTGCCTCTTCAGGCGCGGAGCCCATTCCCTCAGTGCCCCAGCTCTGGCTTTGCCCGCGGCGTTTCCGTGTCATCCAGCTGCAAAATGTGCAATATGTCAGGATTATTTTAAATCAGGGCGTTCTTTGATGTAAGATCTTTGTATGCTTTCTTGCCTAACTCAGCTTCCCCTAGTCATGCACATCCAGGAACTGAGAGGGTTTAAGGATGTAGCAAATCGAGGTGTTGATGTATATCTGTGTATACATTGCTAACTCGTCAGAGTAATGTGTATGTAAATTAGTAATCAATCATAATAGAAGGGCTGTGCTTGGAAAGTCACTGTGAAAAATGCATATTTTATAATTGGTTTTTCGCAAATATTACAATGAATATTATATGTGTAATGCTAGAAAGTTATGCTGTATTAATTCTCTTAAGTAGTGTGTTAAATATTGTTTTAAGTTCCAACATAATGTTAAAATAAAGACTATATATGTAGCGAGAGTTGTTTTTTGTTTTTTTTAAATAAAATACTCACTTAAAAAAACACCTAAATCTTCCCAAAAAATTTATAGCTTCTTACCAGAAGAAACTAATTTCTTCAAACCTTACTCAGACTGGAAGATGCCATAGGGATTAAAGGAAACAGTTGACATACAACAAAAATATGTTTTAAATAAAATGTATGCATAACTATAAAAGATATATAAATGCAACAAGTATATTGTTTTAAAAGTAATTCCTTTGTTCACAAGACATACTTTTCGTAACTTAGTGTCCGAGAGCATGCAAACGTACGGATGTCCAGATGCTCTCGGACACTAAGTCATGAAAAGCATGCCTTGTGAACAAAGGAATAACTTTAAAAACAATAGCCTGTTGCATATTCATATATCCTTCATGGTTATGCATACATTCTATTTCAAACAAGAACTCTGAAGAAATTAGCTTCTTCTGATAAGAAAACCATAAATTCCTCTTCTCCAGAAGTTTTAGGTATTCCTAAAAGCAAGTATCTCATTCCTTTAAAAAAACCCTTCACATAGCAGAGTTTCTATTTTTACATTATGTTGGAACCTGAAACTATATTTAACACACTACTTAAAAGAATTAATACAGCCTAACTTTCTAACATTACACGTATAATATTCATTGTAATATTTGTGAAAAGCCAATCATAAAATATGCATTTTTCACAAAGTGTCAGGACAAAACAAAATGGCCTCAAGCTGTGCCAGAGGAAGTTCAGGTTGGACATGAAGATCAATTTATTCACAGAAAAGGTGACTAAAATAGGAATGGGCTGCCCAAGGAGGGGTTCAGGGAATGACTGGATGTGGCACTCCGTGCTCTGGGCTGGTTGACCAGGTGGGTGCCTGTCACAGGCTGAACTCGATTTCAGAGCCGTTTTCCAACCTGATTGATTCTGCAATTCTGTTTTGGGGGCCTGAAATGAGAAGTGGATGCTGCTGCCAAAGCTCTGGTGGTACTCCCAGGCAGGGAGCAGTCAGATCTGCTGCCATGGTAGGAGCAGAGGTGATGTTTTTCCCAAGAAAAGAGCAAGCTGCTGACTAAATGTGTAGCTCTTGTCCTACTCCTCTGGCTGACAAATACATCTTGAGCGATGTGATGCAAAAAACAAATTATTTTCTGAGGGAGGGTGAGGCTGGGATGTGTGGTAATGACAGGCACATAAGCCCTGGTGCCTTGAATGTAAACAGAAGCCCTGTTGTTGTGGGAGGTAAAGAAACACAAATCTTTGCCTTCCAGAGCTGCATCCTCTGTGTATGAGCACAGTTGAATATTGTTCAGTGTTTGTTGAGGTACTCCTTTCTCCACCTTTTTTTTATTACCAGAGCCCTCATGACTGTTCTTAAGCACTGATGGTCATTGCCAAGGGAAATACATACACTTGTTGCAGTCCAGGCCAAGAAGGAACGTTATTTAGTGGTAATATTAAAATTTCCTCTGACACAGTTCCCTTAAGACCTGCCCAGGCTCCATTATCATAAGAAGCATGAAGAGTAAAATCTGTCAGTCAGTAACGCAGCATTAATTTTTGTGACTGTCTGCTCCAGTCACAAAACCAGCTGAGCTGTAGCAGCAGAAAAGCACTTTGTCTAACCCAAGGCTTGTGTGTGTCCCAGCTGTCAGGAAATTGAGAACTGAGATGAAAGCTCTCATTAATGTCCTTACTAGACTTGGCATTTGCTTGCTTTTCTTGTTTTCTCCATCTAGAATTCTCCATTCCTAAGCCATTCAGGCCTTCTACCAGTTCATCTATAATTTTTCAACCTTAGTGTCTCCACTTTTTATTGAGTCTGCTGAAAACACACTGGTTTGGGGTTTTTTCTTTGTGTGTTTATTTTTCCAATTATTTATTAATCCAATGCATTGTTTAACTCTGTCTGCATAAAGGATATAGGAGCTATTCTTGCATTCCTACTTTGCTAAATTCTTCTTAAAATCAGTGGGTGCTTTGAGTGTGCAAGAATGGGGCTAAAAGTTGTGTTCTACATTCTGCACTTCTAAAGTTTCGCCAAGCATCATTGCTTGCAATTAAAACTCCAAAGCAGACAAGCAGCAAATACAGCACAGGTAATTATAGGATCTATCAAATACCAGCACTAAATATATCTCTAGATGAAAATCTGGTAAACAGTTGAGCAATTGGAAAGTCGTAGAGTGGGTTTTTTTTTTCCTTTAAATAGATGAGTAGTGGAAAAAAACATTCTAACTTGTAATTTATATTATTGCTTCTCTTGAATTTTAATGAAGATGTGTGCATGCAACTTATTTACTTCCTTGAGGAAATAAAATAGAATATTCTATGGTAAAGAGAGGTATATTAAGACAGTTTTGTAGCTGACTTTTTGCTGACAAGCCTCATCTTTTCTACAGAATAAAGACCATAATCCTCATTGCAGAAGAAGACCAGAAAGCAAATTTAAAATTTTTAAGATTTTAGAAGACCTATTTAGAGGTCATATGTGATTTCCTAAGTCCAATTAAACAATTAACACCTTAACAGGTACAATTTTCCTGTGTGGGTGTGTCCATTAGTATTTGTGTTTCTCTTTATATAAGTACTTGTTCTGAACTAAATGAGGTTTTGTATATGTATGAAATTACTCACACAAGCAAATGCCACATCCAATAAAAGTAATGAAAAAAAAAAGTAATTAACTCTGGATATAAAAAGTATTTTTCTGTGCTTGGTATACAGATACTTCAGTATTTGGTACTAAAGTCTCTCTGCTACCAATTTTGGTCATCACAATTAAAAAGTTGTCAGTTAAAATATACAGTCTTCAGCTTCAAATGAAAAAACTCACTATAAAATATTAAATATTTGTGTTTTATATAAATCCAAAGAAAAACTAATTATTAATTGATGGTATTCTAACTCAACTTTCAGTGTAATTCACTTCTGTTCATGAATGATGGGGTAAGACCCTGGCTGAAAAAATGCACTCCATCACCTTCTGCAAGTCAGAAATTGGATTTAATTCCATTTAGTCTGTTTGGCCAGTTGAAATATCAGGAGTTCATGTTGATTTAAAGATCAGACAATGCTTTTCATTAATGTTAAGGTTTTTTCCAAATGTTTTTTCCAAATGTTGTGCACTAGAATATCCTGCCTTGATCCACTGAGTGTGTTGTGTTATGTATTAACTGTCCTTTTCCCTCCCCTTCCCCTCTGGGATCCAAGTTAGAGCATACTCTTTAAGAATTTACTAGGTATTAACTATTGTTGCATATTATCTCTGTTGCTGATGTTTTTAAAAAAGTAGATTTAAAATCCAGAAAATGAGGTTACTGAACCAAGCAGAAATTTACTGTAAAACTGCTCCTCTAAAAGTTGTCATAAAATTCAATGCCAAATTGAATTCCAAAACACGTGTGAAGAGGCTGGAAGTAAGGAAATAAGGAGTGTTCTTTTCATTGCATTCTAATTGTTCCAAGCAGCTTTTCTGGGTGCAACCAGAGCAGCAAAAGTGCTAAGATTTCTCATTTCAAGCCTTACAAGGACAGACATTGATCTCAAAAGATAAATTTATGTCAAAAATTAGTCTCAAAAGAACCACCTGAAAAAGGTTGGGTGCATATACCACCAGTACTACTGGGCCCACATGTAAAAACCTCAGTGGAAAATTAGCAGTGCACATTTCCATAATTCAATCTTTCATTTAGATAATGCAAAATCTCCCTAATTGTTTCTGTGGCACTTGATTGGAGCTGGAGTGGGGCTGTAGGAGTGTTATCTCTCAGGGACCAGGGATCATCATGCAAAATGAGATGTGGATCTTGTCAGGCTGCCTGGCATGGATGAAATTTTATCTAGCTGCAGCCTGGTACAAGAGATTTGGTTAGAAATGCTGAAAAATAATAGTAAAAGTTCTGGAAGCTAATTTTTACTGCTTTGATAGCAATGGTAATGACTAAAGATTAATTTTAGCATTGACCAAAGGAAAAAAAAAAGAAAAAAAAAAGGGTAATTGCAGTATTTAAAACCCTGAGGCAAATCAGTGGAAATGCTTTGGAAAGGATAATTATACCTGCACAAGGAAGATCTGTTTAATAGCATTAACTGGCCCAATTAAGGAGAAGTGGAGGAAGGGCCAATCTGTTACTTCTTTAACTGTTCACTGAAAAAGTGGTTTCAATATTTGAGCAGTGGTTTTTCCAGGATTATTCCCCAAAGTTTAAACATTTTAAGAAGTATTGAAGGGATCCTGTCTCCTGTTGTCAATAACATCCCAGAGTTGCAGTGTTTCACAAGGGACCTCTGTGTATTTACATCGCAGTCGTTAAGATTCTCATCAGTAACCTCATCTGGCATAATCCCAGTCTTAACATCCCAAAAAGCTTATTCTTAAGTGGGAGGAGATGGGACAAAAAGAGGATTCTTTGCTGTTCCACAACAGCAGCAGGTTTGGCTGTTTTGCCACTGCTAAGAGCTAGAGGCTGCAGAGTGGTGAGTACAGAGGAGATCTGCTGCCATGAGTTTGCCCGGGGGCTTCCCTGCTCTGACAAACTGTGGTGTGTGTGTTTTTAATGCAGGTGTGCAACACACAGGTGTGTGCACACACCAACACCTACAAACCAACACGGGCATTTTGTGTCAGGGAATTCCAGGGCACATACTCAGAGATACAGGCGGACACGGATTTTACCAGGGGGAGTAGAGAGAACAGAGTTTAAGAGGGTTTTAATCCTAATCTTTCATTTCCTTGCTGTAGTGCTGCCATTGCTTCTGGCACTGCCCTCAGATCGTGAGTGGTACAAAAGTTGTAGTTGAAAGCAAAGGCCAAAGCTCACTTTGTGCAGTTGCCCAGGGGCAGTGGCACTGTGTGCAAAGGGCAGCACTGGCCTCTTCAGAGTTGGGATTTTTTTTCTCTGCATGTGTTTAATTTGAGCTTTCCAAGGCAGCCAGTTGGAACTGCAGAACATAATTTAGGCAACAGCCAGCCCTGGCATTGTTAAAGCAAGCACACCCCCCTTTATAACCCAAGAAGGCAACAGCACAAAGGCACCCTCTGCTAATCACCCACAGAACCCACTGCAGAGAGCACAGGGCCTAATTACTTAAATAAAATGAGCAAACATTCCATTAAAACAGAATTATATAATCAGGAAAAGGATAGCTAGAAATTTTAGAGTTAACAGCCTCAAAATCTGAATAATAAAAAGCATTTTCATTTTGCAAAATTTAAACCTGAAAAGGGGCTCATTGTCTCTTTTTCAGTGAGAACATCAGGAGTGGTAAGAAGGTCAAGCAGGCAGAATGTGATGGACTGTAAAATACAAGATCTGCCACGTGCAAAAAAGATTTGGTGTGAGAGGTGGCAGGAGAGAATGAGTACTCAGCAGGGACAGTGGGTCTGTTTGGTTTATTCAAGTCCACATCCTACAGTTGCTCTACACAGTTTTATTCAAGTAGAATGATCTAGTCCAAGGAGAGGCTCTCTGCACTTCAGTTAATCTCATTTTCTTGATTAACTGCAGACACCTTATCCCTCCTATTTACCAACCCTAGTGCATTTCCAGTCCCTGACAAGTGTGCAGTCCACTGTGCTGAAGGACTGGCAAAGAAATAACCAACTACAACTCAGGGCTTTCATGGGCAGTCCTGTAATGAATAATAAAAATTTGAATGGCACCACAACAGCTCTCCTCTCAATCTCAGCTACTAAAAAGAAAAGCAGGAGCCAAGGAAATATGCTGACACTGTTACCTGTTAAAATTCTTTTCAACAATTGGTCACTTTTGCCTTTCCTACAGATTGTCTAAATGTTTATATCATAATACAAAATCACATAATTCTTCTTGAAAATAATATTTTTTCCTATGATGGAAAAGAGAAAAATGCAGGGATTTTAAAAGACTGGTGAAAGCCACCACAGAAGTCCAGAAAAGACTGTACATCTCATGATCCTGATTGAAGGACAGCACCAGCCTCTCAAACACATGGCTTTGATCTGCTCTGAGTAAGTTAGGAAATTGGGTAAGCAATGTACTTGGAAAATTTTTATTCTCATCCTAGATTTCTTCAGCTGGGGGCTGCTCAGCTCTAGATTTTTTATTTAGTCTGTTTTATTAATGGCTGCTTGCAAAATTGTGTAGAGTTAGGCTAAATTCTGAGTTTTCCTATGATATAGAAAGATCCAGCCTAGATCTCAAATTCTCACTTCATCTTCTGTCAGACAAGTGTGTATTCCTGAGTGACAAACAACCGGCTTTGATGTGTTGCTGTAAGGCACACAATGAATTATAGACCCTTCTCCAAAACTGTGAATGCATTAATGCTGCTGCTGCAATTGCATAAAAATCTTATTTTGGGAAAATATGATGCATCTGCCCCTAAGTATGTACCCAGAATTTTCCAGCAGGTAAGTGAACAAGTGTGAGGTCAAATGGAAACGGTGTATGTTGAACCAAATGTTATTACCCAACAGCATTTATAAACAAAGGCAGCATCAGAATCAAAACCTCTTCCCTTTTTTCCCTCATATCCTTTCCATTCAATAGAACTAGAGCTGCATTTTGGTGGTTTGCCGTGGAAGCAGCACATTCCTGACTGTTGTTAGAATTACAAATGAGCAACACTGAAACTAATTCAGAGAAGAAAAGAGCTGCTGGCCCTGTGGCAGTGCCCTGGTGGAGCAGGTGCTGCTGCAGGAAACAGGAAAGTGATGGACTTAGACATCCACATGCAGCACAGAGAATGGAACTGACAATATCCCAACATTCAACAACCAGCATTATTTTCTTTAAAATGTCCTTAATTTTAAAGAAAATAATGGGTATGACTCTCCAAACCAGGAATGCAGCAGATGAGTAGGTAGCAAAGCAGTCCAGTTGTGTGTTGGCCAAATTCCAAGTTCAGTAATTACACTCTGCTCCTAAATTCCTCCCCCTCCCCAGCTCATTTGGAATAAAGCTGTTTTTCTGCCTGTCCCAGAGCATTGTGCAGTGTTTCTGTGAAGCTGTACAACACTGAAAAATATCTCATCCCATTAAAATTGCCCAGGGAATTTAGGTAGACAGAAAGCTATCACCAGAGTTGGAATGTGGGCAGAGCACCAAGGTTAACTTACACTTGCATGGGGATCAAGGGATCTTTGCTGACGAGGAGTGTCAGACCCTTACTAAAGAGCACAAGTGGGAATAACTCACTGTGCTGCCTGAATACAAACATGGGAACTCGGAATCTCTGCCCCTGGAAGGGACCCAATGCCTGGGATGTTTCCTAACAAATCACCCTGCAAAAGCCTCTGATGTTGCAGAGTATCTTATCATTATCTTATATGATTATTCAGTAATATTAATGAAATTATTTGCTGATAAAAAAGTTCCAGAAACTTTTGTTTTACAAAGCCCCCATGAACTAAAAACAAACTGCATTTTTAAAAAGTCTACCATAAGAAAAGCAGGATATAGCTCAAATATGCTGAGGCAAGTGTTTTAATTTCAGTAAATAGATACACCAAGAACCCCACAGAGTATTTAAGTATTTAAGCAATCTGAGCCAGGCCTGCAGCAGGAATGAAAGCCTTCTGTGTTATGTTAAATAGACAACTGTAACAGTTTTCTTACCCACCAAAGCAGGAGTCATTTAAAATATTTAGCTAACTGACTCACAAATTCATTTATATGCCAAAAATTTATTCTTACTAAACAAGAATAATTTAAAACATTTGCTGTACAAATTCCTGTAGGAAGGAAAAAACTCCAAATCCATCCATATACCGAGCCTGTTCATTGTATTTTGTGCCTTGTTTTTTTCCTTTTCTTCCTGTAGTTGCCATTCTTCTTTCAGCTCAGGGCAGTTCTAAGCTTGAGGCTTTGATTTCCCTCATTTCTTTGCACTCAAATTTTTTATAAGTCCTTGTGCGCAGCCACCTGAGGATGAGCAGCACGGCGATGCCAACGCCAGCAGTCAGGAGCACCACGGTGACCACAGCACTAATGCCAGCTGCCAGCTGCCTCATGCAGAACTCTGGGGGCTTTTCATCCACGTAGTAAATCCAGAGCTTTTCAATGGCCAGAGCATCTCCATTGACTGACACAGTTAATTTACTGTTGGAGGGAAACACGGAGTCGTTGTTCACGTCTTTTTCAAAGTAATAGGCCACGTCAGCTATATCTACATCCCCCCTGGGTTTCTTGCTCTGGTCCAGGCGGATTTGGATGAGGGGAGGGTCATACTTGATGGCTGCGATGTACTTGGGGTGCAGCTGGTACCTGCTCTCAAGCAGCCGGGTCAGGGCCTGTGCCACGTCGGGAGCACCAAAGGCCCTGGAGCTCCCCTCGTGCCTCAGCTCCATGGAGATCCACCTTGTCCGCACCAGCTCGCGGCAGCTCAGGCTCCTGCCTCCCTTCTCCGTCCTCCGCACGCCCGCGCTGTTCACGCACCAGCAGCTGCTGGACCCGTTGCACTGCCTGGCTTTGAAGTCACCGCTGTCCTCACAGTCGGGGCTGTAAATGCCATCGCTGCCTGACACCCCGTGGGGAGGTCTCCAGAGGCGCTTCTCCTGCAGGGGGATCATTTCTGCCTTCATCAGGAAGCATTTAGAAGTCAGGGTTGAGCAGTCTGCAGGGTGATCTGAACCTGGCAGCCTGCAGGTGCAGTTCCCTGGGCCGTCCTGGGCACACACTGCCCACTTGTTGGTCGCACAGGTACAGCTGTCGTGGGCTGGTGAAGCGACTGCCAGAATCAAACCCAGCACAACCCCAAACAGAGGCTCCATAGTGCAGGAGAAAAGCACAGATAAAGTCCTGAGCCACAGCAGGCAGCATCCAAAGCTTTACTCTCCTGATGGAGGCTGCTCATTCCTACACACTGGCGTGCTGCTCCCTTTATTGATTCAAATCAGACCCACCAAACAGGTTCTTCTTCCAAAACAACTGGCATCTCCTTCCCAAATTCCAGTCAACAGCTTCCCAGCTCCCTGTTACTTCTCAGGGAGTGGCACCTGCCTCCAGCTGCCTCCCTCGCTCCTGCTTGATGAGGAAAGAACAGGGAAGAAAGAGAAGCAGCCAAGCTCCTGCCATGGGCTTCCGTTATGGATTAAAGCAAGCAGCTGGCCCTTTTCCTTCTTTAGACTTTGCATGGACTGTGTGAAATGGCTGTTGAAGGAGCTTCTTCCACGTCTTCAGGAAATTCTACTCCTCTACTTCCATCATGGTTGTTCCCGTGTCTTTCACTGCACAGCATCTCTATCATTCCACTATCTAGTTTCTTATCAGTTATGGACTTTCTACTTTCATAGCTTTATTAAATAAAGCCTTTGGGAGTTTGATGGTTGCTGCCTGGTCAGCTGTTGTTTCAAGAGGAACCACAGCTGACCAGGTTGATGGCTGCAGAGAGCAGCCTCATTTTCCAGCATGGAAAGCTTCTCTTCCACCTTCACTTTGGCACATGCTCATCCTAAGGCAGCACTATGAATACTGATTTTCATGCTTATGTTACCCTGACAAAGTTGTTTGTTCTTTCTTAAGAAATTTTTCAATCTGAACTGTAATAATGCCTTTGACAGAACACTCCAGTGGCTCCCAAGTCTCCCAGTGATCTACAAACCTGTATTACCATTTCCATGTGCTTTGGCAGCAGCTGACAAAGATTTTCCAGTTTGTATTAAGTCAGTCCCATTAATCTGATTTGTCAAACCCTGTCAGACTCTTTATAAATCATTATTTTGAGAGCAGTAATGACCACAGAGAGAGCAGTGTGTGCACTGCACTCCCAGCCAATGCCTGCAGTCAGCTCCTACCTGTGTGCTGCTCACCTGAGCACTGCCCCACTCCTTCCAGTGCCTGCCAGCTCCTGCACTCGTGGCTCTGAGCACACGGGGAAGGACCCTGCCTGCCAGGGAATAGGTGTAAAATCAGAGCTCCACATGGAAATGGGATGTAAATACCCTCTGCCAAAGCAGGACACAATCTGGATATTCCTTCAGGTAATAATAACTCCAGTTAGCTTCCTTGGAAAATAATTGAGATCTACAGCTAAAACGATTATTAAAACTGCCAGGTAAGCCAATTTGTCATGTTGAGGATTCTGTAGTAGTTTAGCAACTCTTTTCCTATTTCCAAGTCATTCATTTACCCACACTAAAATAATGTCCTTTTTTCTTTTAATTTTCACATCCCTCCTTCAAAGTCAAAATCCATTTAACTATCACCTACCTATCTCCTCATATTTTGTCTGTATTTTATTTCCCATTATTTAAATGCCAAATGTGAAATATAGTTAAAAATAAAAGTGCACTTCTTCATTGATTTTTTCTTTTACTGGTGGATTTTCCCCTTTGTAAATAAGGAAGGAATGGACTTATTTAAAGACAAGTTTGCCCAACTATATATATATCCAACTATTTATATATATCTTAAAAATGTAATGTGTCTATGACACCAAAGAAAGTGTTATTTCTTTTAATCCATGCTAAGCTGCAACAGTACTACAAGAGTTAATTATTAAGAACAGCAGGCTGTAAAAGGAATAATCCTGTAGGAAATGTAGAGTGCATTATTTCTTTAGTGATCTCTGCTTCCATGGAAACAATTTCTCAGCACAATTCTAAAGCTTGTAAAAGTAGGGCAGTAGGTCTATGTAAAGCAGCAATTAAACAACCCGAATACTTTTATCTAGGCCATTAAATACTTTGTCCAGCATCAAATATGATTACAGTGTTCACTGGGATGTTACAGCACTGGCTGCTTCCCCTGGGGATGGATGAAATCCTTATCCCTCCCTCCCTGTGCAGACACTCGGGGTGCTCAGCTGGGCCACACCGAGTTCCGAACTTTGTGGCAAAGCTCCCTCTGCTGGAACCGAGCTTCCCTCTGCCGCTGTTACAAACACAGACACATCTTTCTGCGTATTGCATGTACAGCCTTTATTAGCAGACTCTTGTCTATCACCAGGCAGAAATAGCAGAGAAGCAAGCAAAGGAAAAAAGTACTGAATGAATATCAATGGCAACAGCGTTAGCTTTTTACTTGGTTTTATTTATTTCAACTGAATTGTTTTCGGCAAGTTGGTTAGTTAAAAAAAGTAAAATTAGGGATGTTCCCTCCCCTTGAACACAAGATGTGCATCCCTGTGAGGCAGCACTGCTGCTAACTGGGAAAACAAAACATGATTCAGCCAACAAATGCCCATAGGGATAAGTGCCAGAAGTGACATCTTGGGAGGGGTTGTTTGGGTTTATTTTGTGAGTTTTTTTTTTTATTTATCTTTCCCTCTTATAACCTGCTGAATTCCAGTTTTAATTGTATCATATTATTCACTCCTCAACAATTTCTCATGTCCTGAGCAACAACTTGGTAAGGTGTAACACTGGTCTCATGGAAAGGAACAGCAGGTTAGTCTGCACAGGTCCATTGAAACAAAGTCTGGATGGGGAAAAAAAAGCTTTTTCATAAAAAAAATGGCATGCCTAAAATGTGTTTGGTAGAACTGGTATGTTAGTCAAACAGATTTTTATTTCCTGGGAAGCATGCAACTTCCAAACTTGTATCATTAACCATTCAGTGAAACTAAATAATAAAAAGTAGGTTAGTTTATTTTCTCACCCTGCCTCCTGTCAACAAAATCACTGCTCAGCATCACAACTGTGCTCTTTCCAATTCCTATAGGACTCTGTGTGCTAGACTGGATCCTGACAGTACAAGTATTGTGTTTTCTCCACACCACCCTGCAACAAACACTTGGAATTCTGGAGCCTTTATGGGCATGTCAAAGGTTCAGTCCTGCCCCACGTCCTCAGAAAAATCACTTTAAAAGTCTGGGTAACTCAAAAATTTCCTTACATAACACCACTGTTAAATACAACAATACAACTGTGTGACTTTACCTCAGTGGTCATTAAAGAGGGAAGCATCCCAGGACGTTGTTAGCATTACCTGGGTAATCCTGACTCAGCCCTAAAGGGAGGGGAATAGGGTGTGGACAACGAGCAGTATCTACTTCGTGGTGCTGTGACAATAGAGATTCAAAATCCTCTTCCTAGCAGCTCTAACTAGAAATGTCAGGACATTGGCACTGGGGGATTTTCCTGAAAACTACAAAACTGCAACCCATGACTGATAAGCAGGAATGCTCTCCCCCAACCTGGAGTGTAGTTCAGCCAGGAATCCAGGAATCCATGCAATAGTGGTGGTCAGGAAGCCCAAAGATGAGAGTTCAGAGTAAATGCAGACTGAGCCAAGAGGCCAGAGAGAGATGGATACACCAAGGGGTAAATTACACACAGCAGTGGGACCTACAGCTGTGCACAGAGAGAACACACAACACCCACCAGTACTGTTGCCTCCACAGCTTTTAAATGTGGGAAAATCACTGAGTTTCAAGGACTCACATTTTCACCTGACTGGGTTCTGCTCCTTCCCCTTAGTGACAGACTCATGAGGCCTGATAAAAATAGAACATTAACTTCCCGTGAAGGACTTCCCTCCTTGGGATGCAACTCTATGATTTTAAAGCTTTTCAAACTCTTTATACAAACAAAAAGTTGAAACATATAAAATCTCAAAATTCCATTTATGCTATGTAGATCTATATATATATATATATATATATATACACACACACACATTTTCTTAAAATTGTCTCCCCTCTAGATATAAACTCCAAGTCTTGCTTGAAACTTTCAAATATATTCTAGACCTCTCTGAGAAACTCTGCCCAAGATAAACACGTGTAAATAGTAATACCTGTAGACAAGTCAAGTTTCCTTAGTATTTAGAAAGCAACATTTAAAGCACATTTTTTTCTAAAAAGTTTCACAGTGATACAGCTCATGAAACATTTCCAAGTTGCAATCAGGAAACTGCTCAATCAAGATCAATCTGTGACTGATTTATCTAAATATATAACTGTATGAAATCATAACTGAGGAACTAATATAAACAAGTGTTTTTCTATTGAACTGTACATTATAGAGGAGACTCTGAATATAAAAGTGGGGATTTTTTTTTTATTCACAAACACAAACCCTTTTCTGCCCGTTGCATTCAGTTTGCCATCAGTCAGGAGCTCTGGTTTCCACAGGAAACAGTGGCAATTAGAAGTGGACAAACCACAATGATCTGGAGAACAACCTAAAACCTCCCTGTAGAATGGAAGGTCAGAAAGAGGTAACCTGTAGTAGGACAGGAGTTATCATTTCCACTGGAAACAAGCACAGCTTGAGAAGTCATGAAACTTGTCAGCTTTTTCTCCCCAATATCAGAAGCAACATAGCAAAGAATGTGCCACAAAGCTACTTGACCATCAGAATCAATGGGGAAAAGTAATACGAAAAATAATAGTAAAAAAAGAAATTGGGTGATGGATTTTGCTACCACTGGATGAAACTTCTCACTGGACACCAGGAAAGTTTGAGCTACAAAACTCTCATTTCAGTTAAGTTTCCCTTTTGTGAACTCATTCAAGCTTACACTCCCTAAAGCAAAGGAACAAATCCATTCTGAGTTAGAGGCGCACTTGCAGATAAATCATTAGAGGAAATTCCCAAACTGAAAGACTTGAGAGAGAACAAGCTCTCCTTGCAGACTGGTGCACAGCATTCTTGACAGGGTGTCCTCCTTCCCAAACATCAGGCTGCTCAATCATTAACTTCATGGCACTCATTAGCATTAAGCGTTCCTCAGGCACACAGGTCACACACATTAGGAGCTTTCAAAGTGTTTTTAAACCACAACAATGAGAAGACACCGGATTCTTCACAGTCACTATTAAAAGAGATAACAATTCTGAAAGACTTGACATAATGGAGAGGAGGGGAAGAAATTAAAAAATGAAATCAAAATTCCAAATCCATCACACTGGCAATTCGTGTGAACGTTCATTCTCACTTCCTTCAGCATTTTTTTCACTCTTGTATGTTGAAAGGAATAAGTTTTCTATCTGAGTCAAGAACTCTTCAGCAATGAGGCAGTTTGTTACCTTGCCCAAAGTCTTCCTCATGCACTCCAAAAGCTAGGCAAAAGAAAAGGAAATCTGTTATAAATTGTCATTTCCTCCCTCTTGTATGTGAAAAGTACTGCAAAGTGATTTTTATTTATTTATTTAGGATGAACACTACAAAAAGTGTTTGTACATTGTAAATTTAAAAGGAACAGGGTAATCTAAACCCAAGTCTTTAAAACCAATTACCCAACAACTAAATTTCAGAGCATTCAACTAACTAAAGTTTAGATTTACACTTTATAAGCAAAGATGAATTGAGAGGGAACAAAAAAAAAAATCAATGTGTGCAATTACTGTGTGCAAGTTTTCTGTTTATGTCTTTTGCTTTGGGCAGAGTTTCTGTCTTGTTTGTGCAATAATGGTACAGCTGCCATTAGTCAGAGCTCCAGAGCAGTGACTACACTGACTGGAAAATTAAAGTTCCTACTTATCCATGAGAAACATGGCACAGAATTATTTTACTGATGGAACAAAGGACCAGGAAGGCCAAATCTGCTCTGGAGACGTGTGCAGGTCTTGACACTGAAAGCACACAAAATGCTGAGGAGAGACCTGAGTAATTAATTGCCATTAATTCCTCTCCAAACTGAGGGTCAAACTTGGTGTCTGCATACCCCCAACCTCTCTGAGAGGAGGATCTTTATTCTCACTGTGTTGTAAGTAAATTAGCTGTGCCACAAAAATAATTTATTATTGTTAATTTACATCTCTTATTTGTAAAAGTGGAACTCCAGGTGACTTCTGACATTAAACAGATTTGCATTTTAAAATAATATCTAACATAAAAAAAATAAGAGAAGAAAACTTACTTTCTGCAAACAAGTCAGGTCGGAATCTCTATGAAAAATTTTATCCATGGGGACGCTGCTGTTGGAAGAAAAACAAACAGGAGTGCTGGAGAAAGCAGCCATGTGTCTTGACTGAAAGTAACAATAAATGCATAAAATTCCAACCTGCTGTCTGTAACAGAAGTGGACACAAACCTGTGGCAAAATCTGTATTTCTCAATTATCCACCTTGTTTTTTCAAATATCAATTCCCACTGTGGCTCCTCCAGCATCTGCTCCATTTCAAATTTGTAGGGCAGGCCTGCAATCAATTGAAGATCATTATTCAGTGTTTCTGCTACACTCCATTTTTTTTTTCCCTGTTTAATTTAGGTGCAATCCCTTCCTTCCCCATAACTGTTCCTCATTTATTACTGACTGCAGAAGCCTGTAGTTCTGTTACTTGACAACATTAAGGAGGGTAAAGGATGACGTGTTTTGGATTCCAAATTTAATTCTGGTGGGAGTAGGAACAAATCTGTTCTGCTCCCTGCCCTTGCCAATTCCCATTCCATAAGGAAGGACAGAAATCTACAACAAACCCAGAAATGAAAAAATGAATTGAGTGTTTCTAACTTAGTTGTACTTTTGCAGACTAAGAGTTATATGGTTATTAAATTAATAAAAAAGGTTGGTTTTTCAGTATGAATGGGCTGATGGTGAAGTGCTGACTATTGTTTTCAATTTCAAAGGAATTTTGCCCAGAAATGAAGAAATTCTTCTAGTTTACTGCAGGTGGGGGAAGAGGATTCTAGAAAATATTTTAGAAGAACCATCAGAAAGTTACTTGCAGGACACAATTAGTTTACCAAAAATCAGGGAGAAAGAAAGAGACTGTACATTTCAGTAAAACATTTCCAAAGAGCCAGAGTAGATGGCATTTTGATTTCAGGAGCTAAACAGAAACCTGAAATCCTCTGACAGAAAACGCACATGATTACAAAAATATCTACTT